TCTTCCGAACCCAGTTGTCTCTGGCCTGCTGAGGGATGACGTGGGGAGCCATAAATGTGTGAACCAAAGACCACATCACGGCCCTACAGATGTCCTGGATCAGTACCGTGGGCCAGGAAGACTGCCAAGGATGCCCATCAAATGGGCTCTAACAGTCGGCGGCAATGGGACTTTTGCCGATTCATAGCAGGTCCGTATGGTGATCTAGTTGGAGATTCTCTGGGATGACAACGCCGGAAACCCCTTCATCCTTTTCTGCCATGGTGACAAAGAGCTGCGTGGACTGTGCAGAAGAACTTGGAACGGTCCAAGTAGAACACCAGAGTACTCCTGCTACCCAGGGCATGTAACTGCCTCTCTGCTGCATTGTGTGGCGAGGCACAGAACACAGGTAGGAATAGGTCCTGGTTCATGTGCATAGACCCATTGCTGCAGGTGGAAAGGGGCAGAAAGGATAATTGCCTTGGAGCCCGAAGACTCAAAGGTGCCCTGAGCTTCTGACCGACGCCACCATTATGTCAGCAATGGTGGTGGCCAGATCACCACTCCACGTGGCTCTGAGGGGTTCTGGCTGTGGTCTGAATGGCGCAGAGGGCTGACTGTCTCGGCCCCACCCCTTCCTTGGTGAGGAGCCAGCCCTCCCCACCTTGTCCCAGAGCCCACGGTGGTCGTCAGCCCGCTGTATGTGAAAAGAGGACTCCACCTTGGGCAAAAATGCTGGGTTGGGACATGCAGCTGAACCTTGACTTTGTGAAAGACCATAAAGGGCAGCTCCAACAACAGGGCCTTCATTTCTGATACCCGTCTTGCCAACGTCATCACCCCCTGGAAAGCGATCCTGAGTAAATTTCATCCTATTTATTTCAAATCAGTTCTCCAGTGTGTCAAGGCCATTTTGAATTCTAACACTATCCTCCAAAGTCCTTCCAACCCCTCCCAGTTTGGTACTGGCCATTTATGGATTCTGTATTTTCCAATGCCTGACTGGGGAGGGAGAAAGCAGGGCTTTTTATGGCAGAATGGAGCAGTCTACCTTATCCAGTTCCAGTCTTTATCTTGTCACTCGACCACCACATTCTCTCTCCACACCGGTTTCTCATCTTCCTCCATTTGCCATGGTCTAAGTCAGGGCTACTCAACATGCGGCCTTCAGCCCGTTTGTTTGCGGCCCACAGTGCTGTTTGGGTTTATGCAGGGCTCAACATGCAGCTGGGATCCTTTGAACATGCTCCACAACGGCAAGGCATCTCCCAGGCAGGGTGAGCACTGAAAGATGCAAGCGGACAGGCTGGCTGGAACAGACAGGTACAGGGTGTCGGCATTTCTAGTCCTTAGGGAAGAGGTGCCAGGAACACCAGGGCATTGTGGGAAGTGCTGGCTGTTTAGCCTTGTAGGCAGAGCGTGAGGGGTGCTGAGTGGCTCACACTGGCCACGTTTGGGTCTGGCCCTGCAGCTTAAGACTTAATCTTTGTATTCATGCCTGTCAGTGTGAAAGCTTTTTGCATATAGATTTGCGTGTATATGCAACCACACTTAAGTTGCAGCCCTCTGCATGTGCCAGGAGTATCATTATGGCCCCCCAGGGCTTCCAAAGTTGAGTAGCCCTGATCTAAGTCCTTACATCCTGTTTCTCTGGTCTGATATGGCTGCTCCCCACGACTCATACGCTACCTCTCTTACCCGAGCCACTTCCTTGTGCCTCCTAGCTCTCCCCCGCCCCCCACCACGCTGAATCCACTTCTCCCCCAGTTCTTGTTCAAAGAGCTGCTCATGCCCTTAACTGAAAGTGCCCATTCTTTGGAGGGAAACCTACTGCTCACCTTTGTCCTCAAGGCAGCAGATCCATCACAGAGAGCAACAAAGGCCAGTGAAGTGCTCTGATGGAGAGCACTGCAGGAGCGAACACTGTCCCTGGTCCCCCAGCCTGAATACGCTTTGCTCAGGTTATTGCTTGTGGCAAGTACTGCAATAGGAGGCGTGAATGATGCTTTATGTGCTGCTCATCTGCAGGCTGACTGCCAGATAATGTTGCTACTTTTGTGGTTTCCCTGCAATAGCAATGGCTGGGCTACGAGCCCCAAGTTCTTCGCTATTATACTCAGGCCTAGGTCTGGCAACTCTGTATGGAACACACTCCCGGAAATACAAGGGGTGGTGCAGACAGAGAGAATGGGTGTTTGAGGAGACCTGGGCATAAGCAGGATGCAGTCTAGGCAAGTAGGGTGGTTAAGTACGCTCTACAGTCCTCTCTCAGGCTTCACTCCTACTACAGGATAAAATATAATGCCATACTGAGGTCTGCTCTGCTCCCTGTCCTCCTCAGCGCTTACATTTGTAGCTTACATTGCCCCGTATCAGGCAACGTGGAAATAAACCACTGTACTCTTCTAGAAACTGATCCATCCTAAAGGGAAAGTCAGCTGCAGATGAGAGTTCTGTTGATGAACCAAACAGAGAGCAATTCAGCAGCGGGGCTTCCACCCATGCCCACAAAGGCCCGGCTGTTCAGCACTGACTTACATGCCTCCTCTCCCCCCTCCAAAAAAAATGGCTTCACGCAACGAGTGTACAAAACCCAAAATAGTTTTATTCACTTTTTCGGATTTTTGCCTCGACAAGACATTTTGCAAACATGCTAAGGCTACAAAATGTCCAAGTTGACAAAGACATGCAATGCTGACCATTCGATAAGTCACAGCTATAACTGGAGTAGCCATGCCCACCTGGGCCCCTGGAACAGGGATGGTGTACAGTAATCATGGTAACGTACCACACAGGACTCAGCAACCTGAGGTAGGTCTCTTTACAGTAAGAAAATAACTTCCTTCCAGTGTCACAAAGACTTTGAGGGTTAAGTTAATAAGTGTGTAGGACTGAAACAGGAAATGCTGATGTATTTTAAGCATAGTGTAAGTGAGCAGCACGAAGAGTGTTATGTATTCCATTAAGAACCAATCTAAACCTGTAAGGAGCATTAGCAGCTTCAAGATAAAGGATTCAGCTGGAGCAGCATGGGACAGAAACGACTTTACTGCCAGCAACCTGGGGTTTGGATTTGAAGGTCAAAGAGCAATTGTTTTACTGTAGGTTGTTCTATGAACATTTAGATTCTAGTCACGAGTTAGATCAGCAAAGCAGGCAGAGTTTGGTTACTGTAATAGAAATGAACCCCAAATAGCAGCTTCAAGATAAAGGATTCAGCTGGAGCAGCATGGGACAGAAACGACTTTACTGCCAGCAACCTGGGGTTTGGATTTGAAGGTCAAAGAGCAATTGTTTTACTGTAGGTTGTTCTATGAACATTTAGATTCTAGTCACGAGTTAGATCAGCAAAGCAGGCAGAGTTTGGTTACTGTAATAGAAATGAACCCCAAACTCCATTCACACTGCACAAGAAAGAGCTGCTGCATTCCCACGATTGCACCAGGACAGAGTGACCATGCAACATTCATGTGACCCAGAGCGGTCTTCTCCTCAAACCACTCAGGAGCCTGTAAAAAGCTACCCTGGGAAAGCATCATGAGAAGCAGCAGCAGCTGCCACCGTGAACATTAGTGATGCTCCAAACAGCTTTGACAACAGCTACGATGCACTAGAGTTACACCACAAAGTCCTTCCCCCCTGTGCAGGACGACAATGATGGGACGCTGAAGGACATTACTGCAAAGCTTCACTTCCATTCAGACACGCAGAAAATCCGGCACTACGAAAAGACCAACCGTAAGAGACAAAATGGCGTCTGATACAGTCTGATAACAAAGCCAGCTCTCTAGTACCGTAAACTGTACAAAAATGATAGAAAAGAATATGCACTGTTATTAATACAGTGCTCATTTTAATATAAAATAAACAGCTTACATTTCCACTGTAAATATAGGCTATGTACAGAATTATGTATAGATATAGCTACATGTATAAAGCTTCATTATAGGCCTCTGATACATTTATAACTATGGCTCCCTGAGCCACTTGTAGAGTGCATTTAGTAACAAAAAAAATTTAGTAATATGAATATGGAATAAATACAATAAAAACAGGAAGAATTCTTACAGGGGTTTAAAAAGTCTCCAGCTTGACACATTGTGCTAAAAATTAAAAAGATGGAAAGGCAATAATCTGCTTTGAGAATGAGGAAGAGGCGGAGGAGTTGGCCTGCCACAGGCAGAGAGTGGAACCCTCCAAATTAAAGTGACTTGATCCTGAATTTTAGCCCTTGACAGCAACCTTGTTATCTGCAGCAGCGAACATGGCATAGAAGCGCGAGTTCTCATTAGCCAGAAGGGCAGACGGAGTGTCGAATTCCACTACCTATAACAAACAAGGTGGGGAGTTGGCATTAATGACACTCAGCATAAAGCAGGTTACCAGAGCAGAGGGAATGCCCACACCACAGTGAGGAACCAGGGGACTCGAAGCAAGGGACCGAGCCCAGGGCAGTTATATTCCAAGCCCCAATCGGACTGCCCGCCCACATCGCCTGCAGAGGCCACACAGACAGATGGCACAATTCCATGGATTCCCACCTGCTAGAAAGGCTGAAACAGATGACAGCCGCCTGCTTGGCTCTTTATCTGGGCCTCCTCTTGCAGATCTGGCTTTAGCCTGCTAATGGCGCCCACTTTGAGACTTTTGATTGTGTTCTGTGAGGACTGAAACCTCTTTTCCCTTCCCTCTGGCATTTTCTTACCATCATCAAGTTTCAATTTTTTCCCCAACCACCCAGTTCCCCAGGAAGAGTCCTTGCCCAAAGGGCACTGTTCCGCCACAAAGGAGAGGGCGCAGGACAAAGAGGGAGGAATGAAGGGCACTGGGCAGTGGAGGAAGGCAACAAGAAGAGCAAGTGATTACCCAGATGGCACGGATGCCTATTGGTCCCTTTACCACATTCGCCTTAAAAGTCTGGATGTGGCGGCTGCTCCATGGGCCAGCCAGGCTTTTAATGAGAATTCGTGCTCCTACCTCCCTGCCAGCCCAGTGTGCAAGAGCAAATTTAGACCCCCCCAGAAACAGGACAGTGATAATTGGCATGGTTCTCAAAGTGTGAACCGCAGACCACTAGTGGTCTGTAACAGTCCTGCAGGTGGGCCCCGGGCTCGGGGCTTGCCCCCCATCTCCCTGCAGTGGGGAGCCCTCGCTGGTGCTCCAGCCTCACGTCCCCTCCCTCCATGCAGTTGGCTTCCTACTGTGGGGGTGAGGGAGAGCCCTGAGCCTCGCAGTCAGATCCAGCTTGTGAGGGGAGGAAGCACGCTGCCACTCCCCCTCCCTCCTACCTGAGGAAACCACTTATCTGACAGCTTTCCTCGCTGCTCCCATTGGCTGGAATCCCAGTCAGACCCCCCACCCCAGTGATCCAGATGTGGAATAGTCTCTGGGGGGAGGGGAAGGGCAGGGGTACGTCTTGACACTTGGAACATTTCAAATGAGACTGGACAAAACACTAGGAATGTACAATAGCAAGCAACCCTGCACTGGCTCCAAGAGGCAGACTTGATGGGACCCAATGACTCTTTCCTTCGCTGACATCTAGGACTTCACAATATTTTTCATGTGTTGAGTTGACTGTACAGAGCACCCACGTGAAAATCTGAAGTCTCTCGCCCAGCCAGCTGTTACTGTAGGGCTCCACAGCAGCACTAGGGCAAACAGCACTGCACCCTAATGGAGATACAGGCTGCTCGCAGACACGTTGGAATTAACTGGCCTGTGGCGTTGTGGAGATTGCTCCCTCATACCTGCTTCTAGATGGGCTGGGTGTTTTTAAAAGAGACATGGGAGAAGGAAAATCTGGGCTTGATGGCGCAGTCCCTTATCCCAACTCCACGGGCTAGAGCCAGAGGGGTAAAAACACACAGCTACCAATACTACGGCTTTCCACACTGGGGAGGCACAAGCTCAGCTGGCTATGCAAGCAGCACCAGCACGCTGCCAAAGTAACCAACAAAGGCCAAGTGCTACTAGTTACCTGTCCTTGTGTTAGCACCATGATCCGATCGGAGCCCAGCACAGTGTGCAGACGGTGAGCAATTGTCACCATAGTGCAGTCTGCAAAAGCCTTCCCGATAGTCTCCTGAATTAGTATATCTGTCTCTGTGTCCATAGCAGCTGTTGCTTCATCCAGTATCAAAATCTGCAAGCGGCACATAAAGCAGGCTGTTAGGTTACAATGTACCCACTTCCCCCAGTACAGGGGCACTCACAGCCTGGGCTGAAAATACACCTGCTGACTGCCACGACAACAAGGATGACTGATAATCCGAACATTGCCACTTGCGCTTGAGGAAAGCATCTTGTGTATGGCCTTGGGTACAGTCACTCCCTGGGCCTTATCTGCTGGGAGCATTTTTTGACTGCATGTCCCACGGCCCTGTAACAGAAGGGGCTGTGGCTCAGGGCCAAACAACAGTCCCATTCGGTTCTGTATTCAGCATCTGAATCTCAGATGTGAACGTTAAGCGTTGAACTATTCCTGACGGAACAAGCCCCTCTAGGTCTCTCGGGGAAGAGCTGTTGGAGAGAGAACAGGATGAGCAGAAGCTAGGCTGTTTGCATTCCTCATCAGCTACCTCTGACTTAAACCACTGTTCTGTACAACTGCTCACTCCTTGAAGAGCATTAATGCTGGTGCCGACTTGACAACAGGTCTCACTAGCTTGTGTCAGGCAACCAGCCTGAGAAAGGAAGAGATTCCTTACCTTTTCCCACATCCCGCCCTGCTTAGCTGAAGCCCATTACCACAGAGAAGGTAACTCAGATAGGATTTATTGTTCCATTTAGTCTCTGCTTCCCCGTTTCCAAACAGATACAATTCCCCTTGTATAGACTTCTGAGGATACCTCCTCTCTAGGTTCCATCCCCACCTGGAATTAGTCAATTTTGTGCCTTAATAGCCCAGAGAGGGTCAATATTAAACAGACTCCCTCTTCCCTGTTCAGATCCAGACAGACAACCACACTACAGGAATGGCAGCTCACCAAATCTCAGCGGCTAAGCTAGGGGGGACATGGTATTTAATGCACTACAAGACAGACCCAGGGCACTGAAGATGGAGGTGTTGGGATCTTAGAGGAGACCAAAGGTCCTGCCCAGCTTGCACTAACTCTGATGGCCCAAGTTGTGGTGTGAAGTGGGAGGGAGGTTCGCTGTACTGATGGAAGTGCCCTTTTTTGACAACATACAAACACAGAGGAGGTAAAAACTCGATGGCAGTTAAAAAGAAAAAGGCAGCTTAACCCTGAGTCCTGGTCAGATTCCACTTGGGTCCATCTGTTCTGAGCTACCTAAAATCCTTTCTTCACTGAAGTTATTATTCAGTGGCCCTCCGAAAGAAACAAAAGCCTTTATAATTAGGGCAGCGTGGACTGGCCCTGTGTTCTACCCCTGGGGGTTACATTTCAGTGGAAGGGAAAGTGATCTTTGTGCTGAAAGCAAAACACTTAGATACCTTCTGGATGAACGGAGCAATGTAAAATGTCAGCTCCGCAACCATCTTGGCCAACACTACCAAAGAGAGGGAGACAGGACTTAGTGCTCTTGTGCAACAGGCCCAAGCCCTAATGCTAAGCCACAAGAACAGCCTAAGACTCTTGCTACTCATAAGTAACATCTCTCTGGACACAGCACTTGGGAGGCCTATGCATCCATCTGCCCAAGGAATGCCTGCCCCACTCTCCTAACCCCACCTACTCCGTGGGTTACATTAACTGCCAGTGCAGCTGCCTGGACAGCAAAGGAATCATAACAAGGATGAAGTCGGCCCAGAGAGAAGTCTTCTCATGCTGCAATGACTGATCTCTCCAGCCAGGTCTCCCTCAGACACTCACCTTGCAGCGACGCAGCAAGACTCTGGCTATGCACAGTAGCTGTCTCTCCCCCACAGAGAAATTCTCCCCATTTTCCATCACTTCTGCTTCCAGTTTCATGGGCAGCTGAACAACCTGACAGGGGAAAAAGGGGAAAGATTGAGGTCACTGTAGTGAGATGTTGCACCACCACCAGGCTGTCCAAGTGCTTTCGCCCCTCCATTTCCCAGAAGAAATTGCTCACACTAAAGCACACACAGAACTGGGACCCGTTTAACTTAATAGGCATGATAGCTTGAGTGTCTACTCAAGGCCTAAATGCCTCATGTATTATTAATATGAATATGAGATCGAAATCGATCTTCAAGTCTTTAAAAGGGGCAGTGGCTACTAGGGGGGGCACAGATAAGATCTTTGTGTGTCTAACATAACCATGCCCTTCTCTTCTCCCACAGTGCATAAAACTTACACACTCCTTCATGTGAGTCCTTTCCAAGGCATCCCAGATTTGCTCCTCGCTGTACTGGTTGAAAGGATCCAAGTTTGATCTAGTGGATGAGGAAGAAATTGTAAGAAGAATCTTTCACCAATTCAACACTGAATGTCAAAAGTGTGGAGAAGATGTCAGCAGACTGGGTATTCACATGGATGTAATTTCTGAATATGTTGCAGGCCTTTATGAATGAGACTTGTTCGCTTACTTTAAGCTAATGTTTACCTCTTGAAATCATTAGAGAGTTCTAGTCTAGCCCTACATGTCTAGAATTCTAGTGCAAATTCACAGTAGTATTATCAAAACTGTGGCGTTCTTTTCTCCTCAGTATAGACTAGGGATATTAAAAGTTGTTTAATATGGTAACCGTGTATCTGCTAAAAATCTTAGCAGCTACACGCATTGCAGATTTTGTATATAGTTTTATACATCAGAGCCTGCAGCGAAGCCTCCCCAGGAGCCAGCTCAGTGTAATCGATACCATTAGCCAATAAGCATCCTCTAATCAGTTTAACGGTTATTCAGCTACACTCTAATATCCCTAGAATGGACAGCTTATATCCACCCACTGCAACAACAGAATTCACACCACAGAAGTCAGACACTGCTGGCACACAACAGTTAAAATGACTAAAACAAGAATCTGAGGGAAATTTAAGGTACATAAGATCAGCCATACTGGATCACAAAGGGCCATCTAGCCCGGTATCCTGTCTTCCGACAGTGGCCAATGCCAGATGCCCCAGAGAGAAAGAGAACAGAATAGATAATCATCAAGTGATCCCTCTCCTGTCACCCATTCCCAGCCTCTGACAGAGGCTAGGGAGCCCATCCCTACCCATCCTGGCTAATAGCCACTGATGGACCTAATCTGTATGAATTTATCTAGTTTTTTCTTGAATCCTGTTACAGTCCTGGTCTTCACAACATCCTCTGACAAGGAGTTCCATAGACTGACTGTGCGCTGTGTGAAGAAAAACAGTTTTAAACCTGCTGCCTATTAATTTCATTTGGTGACCCCTAGTTTTTATGTTGTGGGAACAAGTAATAACTTTTCCTTATTCACTTTTTCCATACCAGTCATGATTTTATTGACCTCTATCATTTCCATCCCTTAGTCTCCTCTTTCCTAAGCTGAAAAGTCCCAGTATGTTTAATCTCGCTTCATATGGGACCCGTTCCAACCCCTAATCATTTTTGTTGTCCTTTTCTGAACCGTTTCCAATGCCAATATTTTTTCTGAAGTGAGGCGACCACAGCTGTACCAGTAGTGCATCCGAGGGTACTGAGGGAGTTGGCAAATGTCATTGTGGAGCCTTTGGCTATTATCTTTGAAAAGTCGTGGAGATCGGGAGAAATCCCGGATGACTGGAAAAAGGCAAATGTAGTGCCCATCTTCAAAAAAGGGAAGAAGGATGATCCAGGGAACTATAGGCCGGTCAGTCTTACCTCGGTTCCCGGAAAAATCATGGAAGGGATCCTTAAGGAATCCATATTGAGGCACTTGGATGAGAGGAAAGTGATTAGGAATAGTCAGCATGGATTCACAAAGGGCAAGTCGTGCCTGACCAATCTGATTAGCTTCTATGATGAGGTAACTGGCTCGGTGGACATGGGGAAGTCAGTGGATGTTATATACCTTGACTTTAGCAAGGCTTTTGATACGGTCTCCCACAATATTCTTGCCAGCAAGTTAAGGGATTGTGGACCGGATAAATGGACGGTAAGATGGATAGAAAGATGGCTAGAAGGCCGGGCCCAGCCGGTAGTGATCAATGGCTCGATGTCAGGATGGCGGTTGGTTTCTAGCAGAGTGCCCCAAGGTTTGGTTTTAGGACCGGTTTTGTTCAATATCTTTATTAATGATCTGGATGAGGGGATGGATTGCACCCTTGGGGGGGGGAGCGGGCGTGGGGAGGCACTTTTCCTCTGCCCGGCAGCTCTGCGGGACCCCAGTCGGAGCCGGCCCGAGGAGGAGGAGGATCCTAGGACCCAGGTGAGCGAGCCCCGGGAATGCTGCTGCGCATGTGCGGGAGTTGCCTCACCCCGTTCGTATCTAGGGATCCAACGTAAGTCGGATCCACGTAAGTCGGGGACTGCCTGTACACATACTGCAGATCAACACTTACCACAAGGGTCTCGTAATCGCTCCTCCTTCACCTGGAGAACTTCCCTGTTAGCTGCTCCTGTTCGCTACACTGAGATCTAGAGACGTGATTATTCCCTTTAATTCAGCACTGGTGAGGCCACATCTGGAGTATTGTGTCCAATTCTGGGGCCCCATTACAAAAAGGATGTAAATGCATGGGGAAAAGTCCAGCAGAGGGCAACAAAAATGATAAGGGGGCTGGAGCATATGATTTACAAGCAGAGGCTAAGGGATTTGGGCTTCTTTAGTCTGAAGAAGAAAAGAGTGAGGGGGGGATTTGATAGCAGCCTTTAACTACCTGAAGGGAGGTTCCAAAAAGGACAGAGAAAGGCTGTTCTCAGTAGTGACAGATGGCAGAACAAGGAACAATGGTCTCAAATTGCAGTTGGGGAGGTCTAGGTTGGAGATTAGGAAAAAATATTTCACTAGGAGGATGGAGAAAGGCTGTTCTCAGTAGTGACAGATGGCAGAACAAGGAGCAATATCCAGGTTGGATATTAGGAAAAACTATTTTACTAGGAGGGTGGTGAAGCACTGGAATGGGTTACCTAGGGAAGTAGTGGAGTCTCCATCCCTAGAGGTGTTTAAGTCTCGGCTTGACAAAGCCCTGGCCGGGTTGATTTATTTGGAATTGGTCCTGCCTAGGGCAGGGGGCTGGACTTGATGACCTTCTGAGGTCTCTTCCAGTTCTATGATTCTATAGTATATGTTTTTATATAGAGGCAATAAGATGTTTTCGGTCTCATTCTCTATCCCTTTTCCCTAACATTCCGTTTGCTTTTTTGACTGCAGCTGCACACCGAGTGCATGTTTTCAGAGAACTATCCATAATGACTCCAAGATCTAGCTCTTCAGTAGTTGTAGCTAAATTAGTCCCCATCATATTGTATGTATAGGTGGGATTATTTTTCCCAATGTGCATTATTTTACATTATCAACATTAAATTTCGTTTGCCATTTTGTTGCCCAATCACTTAGATTTGTGAGATATGTTTGTTGACCCCCTCAAACAACTCTAGTAAATTAGTAAGGCATGATTTCCCTTTACAGAAACCATGTTGACTTTTCCCTACCAAATTATGTTCTTCTATGTGCCTGACAATTTTATTATTTACTATAGTTTCAACTAATTTGCCCAGTACTAATATTTGTCTTACTGGTCTGTAACTGCCAGAATCACCTCTTCAGCCCTTTTTAAATATTGGTGTCACATTAGCTATCTTCCAGTCATTACGCACAGAAGCGGATTTAAAGGATAGGTTGCAAATTCTTTCAGAACTCTCGGGTGAATGCCATCTGGTCCCGGGGACTTATTACTGTTCAGTTTATCGATGTGTTCTAAAACCTCCTCTAATGACACCTCCATCTGGGAGTAGGGAGACTACAGAACACAATGACCCAGCCTGAATTCATATTTCACTTGCTTCTGGGTCACCAAGTTGTTATTTTAAACGCCCGTTAGAATTGGTGTACTAAAATGAACAGTTAGAAGTGTCCTAATTAGTACACCATTCCTAGGCTCTTGCACTACACAGACTGAAGACAGGAGCAGGCCAGTGCCAGAAGACTTGGCTTCTACTCTGAAACAGCACATCACACAGAACAGCAAATGGCAATTCAGTGGTACCATGTCTGCTGTTGCTTAGCAAACCAGGATTCTAATCTGTTTCACTTTGCTACTAATCCACAAGTGGTGCAAAATGCAATGAGAAAATGAACACAACAGAAGGGATGTGGTATGCCACAGAAGAATCAGACAGGATGAACTGCTGTATGTTACACTAACTGAGTCACTCTAGTTCGTGTCTGGGGTTGGGGAAGCACTGCTTGCAACATTTAAAAACTGACTGCAAAATACACCATAGAAATAAACTTTCAAGGTTCAAGTTATCTTACTGGCCCTTTACCATCTCCATTGTCTATGGTCTCACTGACCTCACAGTTCCACTGAACAACACAGGCTCCTGAGGGATTATTGAGAGTTTGCTGCGGAGATCAGCTAAACCAATGTCACTGATTTTCACACCATCAATTTTAATGCAGCCTCCAGACAGTTCAACGAGACGAAACAGCGCCATTCCAAGTGAGGACTTCCCTGAATGGATGGACAGGAGAAAGAAAAAAAAAATCAGCCATTGGTTCGTGGGAGCAGCAGCTTAGCACAGCCTATACTTCAGGGACAATTTAAAAGAATATAAGTGTTTTAAAATATTGATAAAAGGCAGCCTCCTAGGAGTTCTGGTGGGTCTCATCCAGGCTGGGCTTCATCATCTTTAAAGTCCTAAGCAACAACACTTCCTCATTTAGAAACAAGAATATTGAAACTAACTTCATATCATCCTACTCAATTGTGGTTTTAAATAAAAAACATTTTTCACGTTACTGGCCTCTTCAGAAGAGTTGGGGCAAATTTGGCTGCCACATCCAGGCAAAGAACTCCCAGCAAAACAGAAACAAGTATATTTTAGGGGAAGAAGTTGGCCATTAAAAGAAAGAGTTGGCTGAGCAGACAAAAGTCATATGTTGGCTGAGCAGACAAACCCAGTAGCTACTCAATGCTGGGCAGCACCTGTGGTTGGCACTGGAATAAACTGCCTAGGGAGGTTGTGAAATTGCCATCACTGGAGATGTTTAAGAGCAGGTTAGACAAACATCTATCAGGGATGATCCTAGACTGTGCTTGGGGTCTGGACTCAATGACCTCTAATTGTCTCCTCCAGTTCGTAGGACAGAAAAGGTGTTAGTTAGGACTATGCTGGCTGGAGCATAGTTGGATTTTCCCTCTTTGAGAGCAATTTTATTTTTGTTAGAGTCTTCATCTGAGAAAGTCCCACTCCAGGCGTGCAAGTGCCTTATGAGCGTGTTCACAGGGTGCATCCGGGGGGCGAAAGAACCAGTTCCATAAGGTAAACTGTTCTTGTCCAGCTGGGAACCCAGCATCCCCTTCAAATGCCAAAGCATCTTTCAGTGGTGCAGCTCAATAAGAGCTAACCCATTATAGCCCCACGTCAGCCAGCAAAGTTATTTAACGTCACCCAAAGCCCCACCTCACCTGACCCTGTCCGTCCCACGATGCCAATCTTCTCCTTGGGTTTGATCGTAAAGGACACTCTCTTTAGCACCAGCGGGAGGTTCTCTCTGTACCGCATCTCTGCGTTTTCAAAGACAACTTCACCTTCTTGGGGCCAGTCCACAGGGGGAGCTTTATTCTTAATTCGAGCTGGAGCCTCCAGAGAAAGGGTCTTTAGAAATAGAAAAGAGAACAAAAAGTGTATTTTCCAGTCAGCAAAACACATCCATATGGCAAACTGTTCACTGCAGATCTGAACCGGAGTTGGTTTCTCTGTATTGTAGATTCCCTCCCTTCCTTCTTTTCTCCCTGCTGAGCTAGGGGGAGGGTGGAAGCTGTCCCCCCAAAACAGATCCCAGGTCCCTAGGATAATGCTCAGCATTTCCCCATTACAGGTTCAGCCCCACATGCGGCTTTAAATGAGCATTTAAGGAAGGCAATGTTGCCTAGTGGCAAAGGCACCCGACTAGGCATCAGGAGGCCAGAGTTCAATTTCTGGTTAGAACATAAGAACAGCCATACCAGATGAGACCAAAGGTCCATCTAGCCCAGGATCCTGTCTTCTGACAGTGGCTAATGCCAGGTGTCCCAGAAGGAATGTACAGAAAAAGCAATCAAGTGACCCATCCCCTGTTGCCCACTCCCAGCTTCTGGTTCTGCTACTGGTCTGCTGGGTTGCTTTGGGCAAGTCACGTTCCCCTTCCCATGCCTCAGTTTCCCCATCTGTAAAATGGGACGTTTATTCTTAATTCAAGCTTTATTTTGTAAAAAATGCTTTAAGATCTACGGCTATAAAATACTAAAGAAGGGCTAGATACCGTTTACAGACAGAAACCATGAAGTTCTTGGGAGCCTGCTGTGAGATTTTAGGGCTGTGGAACACAGCAACTCCTTTCAAATCACAATTTCACAGCAAGGCTACATAGTGCCATAGAAATGCTGATTCGCCTACATTTGCTGTGCTATGGTCACGCATTAGTTCTGCACATGGTCACGGGTGATCTATGTACACAACAGTGGTGCAGCCAGAAAGTGGCCCTGACTTCGGATGGATGGGTAATGACGGGGCGGGGTTAAGCCCCAGTACCTGGGCAGAGCGGGGTAAACCCCGACTCTGCTCTATGGCTAGAACACTGAGCAGAGTGGGCCGGGGTAAATGCTGGCACCCCAGCTGGAGCGCTGAGTGGAGCAGGATGAGGCTTGGCACCCCAGCCCCATTCCCCAACTGGAGTGCTGGGGGGGGGCTGGGCCATGGCCCACGCGAGCCCACCCATGGCTATGCCCCTGGTACACAACAGGGATGAAGTGGATAAAATGTGAAATTTAACACATGGTGCCCCCTACACTTCAACTATCAGCCCAGCTAGGTACTGGGTTTCCTTGAACTCGTAAAAGAAATCTGAGTAGCCACACTGAAAACAAACCAACCCCAGGGCTACAGGGGGCACAGAAGCTGCTGGCCAGGCTGGCACGCAGCAAAAACTGATGGGAAATGACAAGCCAAATGTGATTTACATTACAATCAAAAGAGTCTGAAATCACTTCACAGTCAATGACCCTCTAGAGAGCCAACAAGGTAGGAAATCATGAAAGACTTGTGCTCAGCAGAGGCCAGCCAGGATGTCAGAGACAGGGACTTTGCAAAACCCTAGGAAAGGCCTGGGGTTTGTCACTGAAGAAATGGCCATGACAAACACAGCACTGCTCTGAGTGACACTGGGCCATTCGCAGGCGTGGGAAGGGGCAGGAATGACCTAGATGGTCACCACAGCTTCTGCAGGTAGCAAGCTTCATCTCACACGGCTGCAGAAGATTTTTAGTTTCCTTTTATTTCTTTGAGTAACTACAAAATTGAACTGGTTTCACTCCCTCATACGTGCAGTCTCTTGAGTAGAATAGGAAAAACCATCCTGCATATGGGCTGTTTATAGGCCTGGAGTTTCCAGAGAGCTACCTCTCTAGGTCTATCATCTGAGATCTGCTGACTCACTCACGCCAGATCAACTCTTCTGCATTGCTCCTTAAAAAATTCCACAACTTTCAACATATATTTTACAGCAGGCAGTTGTGTGGAAAGCCAGAGTGACTCAATGGGGACACTGACTTTAAGCACTGAGCGAGGAGAGTCAAGTGTTAAAAAAGCCTCTAATGAAGTCAACCCATAAAGTGACTTAAACATGCTGGAGAGTGGGTATTATGCAGCTCCCCTAAAATACTGGGGGCATTTCCCCCAGTGAGCCCCTCCCACATTTCAGTCCTTGCTGCAGGACACCTTGGCAAATATTCAGAGGCTAATTAGACTTCCCTGCCCTGTACATTTATTTACCAAGCAATTGAATTCTTCGGCCCCAGTCCCGAAAACACTCAGCACATGTTCTTCCAATGCTTACTCATGTCAATTCCAATCAGGTGTGTGCATGCGTGCATGCACATGCACAATAGCCAGAAGATTTTTCCATAGCACCCTCCATCAGGTCGGCCTACGTGTCATCTAGCACCTTCATGGCGCTCAATAGAGGGCCCCCTACCTAGTTCCTTCTTACCACCGGTGACAGTTAGCTGGCACGTCCCATAGTCTGCTTCAGCACGCACTCCTCTCTCCACCCTTCGTATATAGGAGGAGAAAGAGGAATGGCAGGAAAAAAGCTTCATCCATTCTCAGGCCAAGGCTTTGGCCAATCCAAGCCACCTGCCAGCCCCAAACAGGCCTTTGGACAATGTGGTTGATGACGGCACACCAGAGCGAGAACTAGAACCACCTCTCTTCCTCTTTTCACCCTCACTATCCCACACAGTGGACAGGGGATACTTAATCCAGTTCTGTGCCCTTCCACTCTTCCCCATCTCCCTTCCCTCTGGTGACGCTTCCTATGAAGAACTTCTCTGGGAGGCGCAGCTGCTCCTATTGCTTGGGGAAGTAGAGCAGGTCCCCAAGAGCTGATGGGCAAGGGCTTCTAATACCGAAAGCCAAGAGAGGGCTCGGGCCCATCCTAGACCTGCAGGGACTCAGATTCCTCATGGTCAGCCAGGAGGTTGTCTGAGCTGAAGGCCTCAACATCAGAGCCCCCCCCTACACTACGTTCCATAAGAACAAGGTGCAGTTCAGGCCTCATCTGGCTTTCCTCCCAAACATTGTCTCCCTGTTCCACATCATTCAACACATCTTCCTCCCAGCGTGCTATCCAAAGCCTCACTCCAGCAGCAAGGAGCCAAGCCGTGATGCATTGGACGTCTGCAGAGTGCTAGCTTTCTCCAGCGAGAGAATCAAGCCTTTTGTGGCAGTGGTGGATAGAATGAAAAGTCTCCCTGTCTCCTCCAATAGATTTCATTGAGGATCATGTCTTGCAGCTTCGAGTGCTACAACTTGACACAGGTCCCCGCCCCTCCAATCACTGCACATTCCATCTGGACTCAGGCTTCTTCAACAGTATTCCTGCCACAGGTTCCCACCCAGAGAATCTGCAGAGCAGCGATGTGGTCTTCTAGACATACTATACAATCAGCAGACACAATGCAGCCTTTGGAAGAGCAGTGCTCCAATCAGCAGTCTGACCCCACCTCCCAAACTTTGGCTTGAGAGCCACCTGATTGAAATGGATGGGAACAAGCATGAAGAAAAAAAAATCTTCCAGCTACCATGCACGTATGCACACACACGCCAGAGAAGGGGAGTAATCTTTTAACTAAGTGCACCACTCACCCTAGTGAAGTCCATTTTACACACATGCGTGTGTGCAGGAGCAGGGCTTTATTTTCTATTCTAAGGTAGGTCCCAATGCGGATACCGGCCAGTTCTCCCTCCTCTCACGTCAAGAGCCTGAACAGCACCAGCGAAGGGCACAAGGGGGAAAGAAGGTGAAATGCCACCTTACCTTGATGTAGTGATTAATCCTCTCCACTGAGGTGAAGCGAGCCTCTGTTTCTGAGGCCAGTCTGACTGTAAACTGGAATAACCCTGTTAACTGGGAAAGGAGAAGAGACATGGATGGAACCATTCACATCACAGAATTCCACTGGATTTGTTTATTCTTAACATATCTAAATGCTTTTCATAATCAATAACCAGTGGAACTCAGATGCCTAGCTGCAAAATAACCCTACTTGTGGTAGCTTAATAATTAAATATTAGAAGGCTTACAATGTCCATCAGTAATTGTTTTGCCTGGGGATCACCTGAAAAGTCAGCAAGGTGATGCCAAACACAATGTTAATACTATTCTCTTATTGGACCAACTTCTCTCGGTGACAGAAACAAGCTTTCAAGCTTACACAGAGTTCTACGTATGTGCAATAGCCTGTTTCTCACACCAGCAGAAGCCGGTCCAGTAAAAGATATTACCTCACCCACCTTGTGTCTCTAATATCCTGGGACTAACATGGCTACAACACTGCATAATAGTAAAGCTCTTCATTTTGTAGTTTCACCTTATTACAACAAGGGGGCACAAAGCCCAACAACAGAAGTTATAGCCATGTATTCTAAGATCAAAGATAGATCAAAGTAATACCTCATGAGGCCTCCGATTGGCCAACGTGCATGTTAATTCTCTAGAAATAGCCAGGAAAGAAAAACATGCAATATGCGATCAAGCACTCAAAGCAGCAACAATCTCACACTCCTCCCAGCTGTCCCAAACCCTTTGGAAGGGCCCTAATCCTTGATCACTATTGCTCCATTATCAACAGAACCATCAGTGTAGTGTGTCTGCCCTCTCCCATAACACTGCATTCAGTCAGCTGCACCAGCATGCACCACAGTTAGAGATTCAGTCAGATTCTAGCGCACAGATGTGGACAGCACCTCACCTGGACAGCGTAGGAGATGGCAAGCCCAGCGTATGCGGGAGGAATCTGGCCATGCATTAAGACAATCATAAGGCCGGTGGTGGTGATGAGGGCAATGCTGATCACATCCAGCCGTATGGCCAGCCAGCGCATTGCACAGCTGAACAAGTAAAATGGTGCTTGATTGTCATCCAGCAGTTCTTGATATCTGGAAGCAGAGAAGGGAGAGATGTGTAGCAGCTGCATCTCTTTGAAGTTTTACATTTAATGATGCCACTTTTAATGCTGCTGCATGAAACTGATATCAGAACTCATTGAGATGGACTAGCCCTGGTTCTTGCCTCTCATGCAGTGCACTCTCCAAAGCAAGATGGGTGGCCACTTCAGACAGGGAACAGAGATTCATTCACTCACACTCACACCTTTAACTCTCCTATATCACCTGGGAGATCTGCTTATCTTTGTGGTTCAAGCCAAGAACAAGCTGAGAAATAGGCCACAACCGATGGCTCAGGCTCCAACTCCTTTCCCCACAAACTGAGCTACGTTGTGACGGGGCATCTGCCCTGCACTGGCCTATTAAGGGGTTAAAACCCAGCTCTAGGTGAGGGCTGGAGCCAAAGAGCAAGCAGCTGCAGCAGGTAGCTGCCAATTAGGGCCCAGCGGAGGTGCCTATAAATAAAGGCTCATGGAGCGGTGCAGAGACACTCTTGCTCTGGCTGGGGAGGAGGAGGGACCTCGCTGCTAGGGAAGTTGGGGTATGTCTACACTACCCCGCTAGGTCGAACTAGCGGGGTAATGTATGCATACCGCACTTGCTAATGAAGCCCGGGATTTGAATTTCCCGGGCTTCATTAGCATAAGCGGGGAGCCGCCATTTTTAAATCCCCGCTGCTTCGAACCCCGTGTAGCGCGGCTACACGGGGCTCGAACTAGGTAGTTCGGACTAGGGTCCTATTCCGAACTACCGTTACTCCTCGTGAAACGAGGTGTACCGGTAGTTCGGAATAGGCACCCTAGTCCGAACTACCTAGTTCGAGCCCCGTGTAGCCGCGCTACACGGGGTTCGAAGCAGCGGGGATTTAAAAATGGCGGCTCCCCGCTTATGCTAATGAAGCCCGGGAAATTCAAATCCCGGGCTTCATTAGCAAGTGCGGTATGCATACATTACCCTCCTAGTTCGAACTAGGAGGGTAGTGTAGACATACCCTTGGAGGCTTCCTGATTTAGAGCAGGGCTGGGGAAAGTCAGGCAGAGCTGGGGAAGCTCTGGTCAGGCAAGCTCCCAGGCTGCAGGGCCCGAAGCAAGGCCTCAGGGTACTACAGCTGCAGGAAGGCAGCCAGGGCAGGCAAAAGCAGCAGGTCCACACCCCCTTGCCAATGAGGTGTGGCCACTTCAGACTGCAGTTTGCCCCTGTGGCAGGGGCTAGATGAAGACTGGCAGTGGGTCACTGAGGCAAGGTGGGTATAGGGGGACTGTGGGTCCCCAGAGGGGAGGACTCCAGAGAGTGGAGGGCACTGCGGTAGGGCAGTACCCAGGTAGGAGGGTGCCATGGTCTGGGAGAGACTTGGACCCCGATAGAGTGGTAGAAAACAACAAGTAACAGCAGGTGAGACATCAGCCAGAAGGGGGAGCTCCAGCACAAAAAATGCTAATTCCCTGAGTGACCAGCAGGAGGCGCTCTTGGTGGTGAGGCCAGCTGTTAAATATCTTCCAGGAGAAACTGAAGAGTTACAAGCAACTAACCACATAAAACCTATAGTGCCTCAACACGAGGGATGTAACGAGTAGTCATCTAACCAATAAGCCTAGGCTTACTGGTTAATCGAGTTGACTACTCGCATTTCCCCTCCCACCTGCTGCCTCTGTACCAGGGGAAGCAGGAGCCAGTGCCAGGAGGAGCCAGCTTAAAAACCTGTTCCCCCCCGCACCATCACTGTGGTGCCACTTGACCACCCCCCCATTCTGCTGCCTATATCAAAGGCAGCAGTGGGAGGTGGGGGGGAAGCAGGGGAGTCTGCTCCAGCAGCAGCAGGGTTGGCCTTACCATGAGGCAGCCGCCTCAGGTGCCAGACTGTGGGGGGCACCACTAGGACCCAGAGTGTAGAAAATTGTGTCTGCTGCTGGTGCAGATGTATTCTCTCTGCTCTAGATGCACAGAGATGGTGGAGTGCTGTGCTGGAGGAAGGAGGGCACAAGAGACATAACAGGCAGGCAGGCGAAAAGGTGGCATGGGGGGGGGGCATCATTTGAGCTCTCCACCTCAGGTGCCAAAACGTTGTGAGCCAGCCCTGAGCAGCAGCCTCTGTCCATGGGGAGCTCGGATGTCAGGGGCTGCAGCCACCCCACACTGTTGCCTCTGTATCAGAGGCAGCAACATGGGGCAGCAGACAGCTGGTCTGCATGGGGAGCTGGTTTTTTAATTGGCTCCCCTTGTGGACCGACTCGCGCCTGGCATCCCCGCACTGCTGCCTCTGATACAGAGGCAGCAGTGTGGGATGGCAAGGGGCTCCCTGGGAGTGAGACCAGAGCACACTGGCTGCCAGCCTCACCCCTGGGAATTACAAAATAATCAACTGATAGGAATTCATGCGGTTAGTTGACAATTCTGGTACCTGATAGCTAACATCCCTACACAACACTGAGCACAGAGGTACCATTTCAGAAGATATTGTACACAGATAGCATTTAACAGCACTCGTTGATTATAACAGATATTAGCATCTTATCTGTGGTTCCAGCTCTGCATGGAACAAGGAAACACGGCTAAAGGAAGGTGACTGTGAAGGCTAAAGGTTCACAAGACCAGCTGCCAGGTTTTCAGATCCTGTCACACTGGCTCACACCAGCTTTATCCCATGCCAAACAAACCATACCGACCTGTGCAGGAATTCCTGCCCTCTGTTGTATGCGTGGATTGTAGAGAGACCCTGTATGCTAGACGTAATGTGAGACAGGAACGGAGACTGTGTGATGTTGTCCAAGCGCTTCAGCTCACGAATGAAGACTCTGGAATATAGAAAGGGGCAGCTTGGAGGAACGCGCACAACCATCCATACCGCACTGCGCCAGCCTGAAGAATGCATTGCCCAATTCACTTATGACAGGGAGGCTCTGACCCATGGAAGTGACTGGTGAGCTTACCTAGACACAATGTGCAAGATTGTGAAGAGGATGAGGAGGGGTCCCACTGCCACCAGAAACCATGGAAAGACCCCAGCGATCACCCCAGCACAGAAGAATACCAGGATGACATTCTGAATGAACATTTCCGCTTGAAAAGGCAAACGCACATCGACTGGAAGAGATGGAGAGAGAAAAAGGGAGGCCTTGGGAACAGGGAGCCACATCACCTAAACAAAGCAATCCAGTCCAGCTTCCACAAGATCACACCCTTTCGGGACACTGGTTTCCAAGACTTATTTAGGTATAAAGTCTTGCTCTTTAAATGAGGGTCTTTGTCTTCTACAGTGCTAGCGATCTTCATACTTACTCCTCCCTTTGCCCCACAAATAAGGTCACTGTTGCAGCACGCTTTGCTCTTAACTTGCCATAAAAAAAGGCACCAAGGTTTGGATGGGATCAAGAAGGTGAAAGATCAGGAGCACCAGGACATGACTGGAGTCACCAGAACCAACTTTACTACATAGGGCCTGGCCAAACCTTCAAATCCTGCCCGCATCCTTCTTTCAAAACAATCTAAGAGCTTCTGGTGCACAGAGAAGTGAACAGTTTTATTTTGGAGGTGAAAACATACCAAAAACCCTGCAATAGATCAAATTCATTTCATCCTAGTAATCCTGTGGGCAGTACCCCAGCACTAGCTGGTGAGGGCCATGTGCACCAGATTTATGCATGAAATTAGTTTGCTATATTTCTTTTTGGTCTGATCTGATTTGGGGCTTTCCACTCACAGGAGATACCCTATAGCCTAACCCTGAGATGGCCCAATTACTGATTTGTCTATTTCAAATATGCCATGCACACCAAAGGCTTGTAATATCTAGACACACTTTCAGGTTATCTTTGTCTCTGCAGCCAGTGATTAGCATGCACATGTGATTTTACTGGGAGGTCTGAACACAGACTGTGTTGTGTTATGGCAGACAGACATACCTTCATCCATATCTCTGGAGAACCTATTGAGAATCCGCCCAGTGGGTGTCGTGTCAAAGAATTTCATGGGGCTGCG